TGAGCGCGTTGCTGATATTTTCACCAGACTAGATGAAGTCTCGCGGCAACAACTAAAGGAGCTTAGCTACGAGAAATTGTTCTCGCAGGCCGACGGGAAGGATCTCGCCAAGCTCCTGGTCAAGGCAATTGTTAACAGAAATATCGAGAGCGGCTCTAACGTTGAGACCGTGGCTGACGCCCTACGAAGACGGTGCGGCAGCTTCTGCAGCCCCGACGACGTCGTCATCTTCAAGGCCCAGGAGCAGCTCAAGCGAGCCTCAGAGCAGCCTATGAATACCAACCAATTCAGAAATCTTCTACACGAAAGTTTAAAGCTTTTCGAAAAGGTTGCTGGTAGTCTGACCTTTGCCAACTTGCAAGCTGCGGTTACACAGTATGTTGAGATGAAATATTACGCTGGAGCTATTCAACTATGTCTTATTGTTGCTCGCGAGAAGGATCGTGGTAACACCGCTCTTACCTGGGTCAATGACGGCAAGCCATCAGGCGACCCTCGAGCAAACGCGTTCAATGACCGAAAGCGGTGCTACGACATGATTCACGACGTGCTCCGCCATTTGGATGCTGCGTCAAGCACTGAGCCAGAAATGGTTGACGGCAAGCTCACTTTGATTGCCACCAAGAGACTGGAAGCCTATGATGTAGTGAACGGGTCAGACGATGAAGTGTTCCACTTTGACCTATACGAGTGGTACATTCAACAAGGGTGGACTGACCGTATCTTGGCCATTGACTCTCCCCATGTCATCACCTTTTTGGAGCGTCTGGCCGGTACCAATGTCGAGCATGCCGATCTCCTCTGCCGCTTCTACACCAACCGCAGTCGTTTCTTCGATGCCGCAGAAGTTCAAGCACAGCTGGCAAACTCTGATTTCCCAATTGGCATCAAGGACCGCATCAAATTGCTGTCTCTTGCCAAGGCTAACGCCAACGTTGCGACGGTTGGCGTTAGCAGGCAGCAGCAGCAGCAGGTCAACCACGAAGTTACCGACCTCTTAGACGTGGCAAACATTCAAGATGACTTACTGCAGCGACTCAAGGCGGATGATAGAATTGACCCCGAGCGAAAGGCCGAGATTGAACTCGCCCTAGACGGTAAGATTCAGGGGCTCTCAGAGGTACGCTCACTCTTGTTGTCGCGAACATGTCAATTCCTGTGCTAACAAATCGTAGTTGTTCAACGACTATGCGGATCAAGCAGGCTATTACGATTTATGCTTGTTAATCTATCACACAGCCAACTACCGTAATCCCACCACCATTGCTGGAACGTGGAGCAACCTGATCCAGCAGACACACGACGAAGTCATGGCCAGGCTAGAGAACCCCGAGCCAGGCATGCCAACACCCCCCTTGCCGTACGAAGCAGTCTCCAGCAAGATCCAGAATATTGCCCACCACACCTCCCTCGACAGCTTTGTGTTCCCCATCCAAACCCTTATCCCCGAGCTGTGTCGCTACGCAGTGGCCTACCAGCAGGACGCTACCATTGGCGCCGACCCTACTTGGCCTGTGCAATTATTCCTCACCCTCGGCGTATCGCACGATATGATTGTGCGAGTCCTCGAAAACATATTCGACACCCAGGACTACGGCTTCAGCGGCATGGCTCGCAACCGCATCATCGAAATCATAGCGTACGTGGTCAACGACTGGGTTGCGGACGTCCGTCGACGAGGCGGCGCTGGCAAGGGTGGTTCTATTGGACCCCCCGTCGCCGACCTTGTTGGCCGATGCGAATCTGCTCTCCCCCCGCCAGGCCAGGGCAACAACAACGGAGGCATGGATTTGGCAGACATCAGAAGGGTATTGAGGTCGTTGAGGAGAGAAATTTCAGGACTGATTGAGAGAGTCCCCACCGGGAGCTTGAGGTTTATGTGATTCAACGAGACGGGGACGCAAGGCGGAATTTAGGTGGTGTCGAACTTGATAGTTAAAAATGGGCAGCAAAGAAATGCATGGTTGCTACGGGCGCTCAAATGGCAGGGTCATGTTGTACAAGAAGAAATTTTTTCCAACAATGTAGCATAATTTTTTTTTATTACGTGGGATGATAGATTAGCTAGCTCCTTGGTAAGAATGATATAGGGTTTGAGTGACGGACTACAATGTTGTAGGGCGCTATCGAACCATCAAGGTTGTAAATGCGAGGCATGCGACCAGTGAGCGTGCTTTGTAATAAGTAATGTTCAAAAGTGCCCGGTCTACAAATCACCTTTATTGTAGTTTTTTCTTCCATTCTTTCCCACGAATTCCTATAGTTGGTTAGTTGAGAATGGCCAGCGGGAGGTAGTGTCTGCAAACGGCGAAAACTTATGAAGCTTCTTGCCCCCCCCCCTGCTAGAACAGATGGGAATAAGCCATGCTCGTGCTGCCCCCGTTCAATGTTCCAATAGTGCATGTGGAGCGGGCGTATTGGCGCAGGAGGTGCAGGGTATGCTGGCCAAAGATGTACTTGACAAGAGCACCTTTGTATGTGCAGATAGCTCGGGGGTGTTGGTAGATGTGGTCGCGGGCAGGATCAAAGATGAGCGGACGGGTTCATACCCAGGCCAAGGTGTTGGACGCCACGGTATGTGTCTGCCGGGCGTATAGAAGGTGCCAATGTTTTGCAGGGATACGGGCTTGGAGGAGAATTCACTGAGCCATGTTGCTGTTGCGCTGGGGCTGCACTTGATCCCCGAGCCGGACAAAGTCCTCAAAGGTGTAAATCTATCCCTCAACACTTTTGACGTGGGGTGGGATAATTAATGGATTCTGGTAGACTGCTGGGGAATACTTCAAAACGGCCGAGTCTTTGGCGCGACCACGTTCCCGCGTGGTCATGGCTCCAAGTTCTGGATTCCGGATATGCGTGCTGCTTTTGCGTCGTTGCCGTTTGACGCCCCTTTCCGGACGGATTGCCCATGCAGACTCATGATTCGGGGAGGTGGTACGATTGCGAATGGATTGCGCGGCATCTTGACGAGGAGGGGTTTGGCGGTGTTCAAGTTACTGTGAGTCCGGGGCGGTACCATGCTGAGAATGGGGTAGAGCTTGTGAGGTCTTTTGGCATGTTGATGCCGTTTATTATGAATACGTGGTGGAGCAAGGAGTTGAGGAGGGAGCATTCGGTTGATGTGGTAAAGAAGGGGGTCGAGGAGTACGTGGAGAGGACGTATGGGGGCAAAGGGTGGGGTATTGAGTGGGAGGTTATTTCTACGACGGGGGTTGGTGAGCAAGTGAGTCCATTTGGTGTATATGGACGTGTCGAGAAAGAATGTGAATCAAGTGGCAGTCTGCGGACAAGGAGTTGAGACAGAGCAGGGACTGTGTCTTGTGATGTTTCTCCATGTTCAGTCAAGGGACAAGGTTTTATGAATGTACATGATCTATTATCTACATGGTTGCCGAGGTTCCTGCTTGTGGCGTATCGTGCCGTTGCACATTCGGCGTCACATCACTCTTCTTCTCTCCAGCCGCCCCAGCAGCTTCACGGGCTTGCTGTGCTTCTATTGACTGCCGCGTCGAGGGGGCCGGCACCTCCTCAAGCACCGTCCCCGGCTCGACCACGGCCGTCGACCGTCTCTTGTTTCGCATCCTCGCCCAAAGCATGGCCGCAATACACATCAGCAACAGCCCAGTCGTCACCACGGCCATGATCATCCTCCCCGGATCGCCTCCCCTCTGAGCACCAATACGCTGAATAGTCCACGGATAGCAGTTCGACTTGACAATGATGTATATGCCGAGTCCCACGTACAAGAAGGGCACCACGTAATGGGCGTACTTCTCGGCCGCTCTCAAAACATGCCTCTGTCTCATGACTAGGAACGCGACGAGACACCACACCCCGACCAGGATATAATACACGACAACATACACGGCGATTTCTGCCCCCTTGGTTTGCGAGAACAGAGGTATGTACGTGCTGATGTTATCGCCGCCATTCATGACCGTCACCAGAGCTACTTTGAAGACGCTCTTCATGGACGCGATTCTCGAGCCTTCCGATTCCTCTTCGGCGTCGGGATAAAAAAGACCAAGCACGTTCCACAGTCCCAGGAGGATGGGGAGCAGGCCGAGAAATCCAATAGGTTCCGAGGGGAGCACGAGCGAGATGCCAAAGCCAATCATGCTCACGGCGATGATGACGGTGAAGCCGACATATTGACCAATGGTGACTTTGAGGGGCGTGAGGACCTTGGTGGTGGACGCCTCGGCCATGAAGGTGACGAGGACGAATATGTCGTCAATGTTGGTGATGGCGAAGGAGCTGCATGCCGTGCCGATGGCCTTGCCGAACTGCATCGTGCCGCGGTTGTGTCTGTGGCGGCAGACGTTGATGCTTTGAAGCTCATGAGACGGAGTTCTGAGTCAAAGATGGGCCGTGTTTGGCGACCTAGATGGTGAGCAGAATCAACGTTGGGCCTCCTGAGCCCGACCCGAGCTGTGCCATGACGGGCTTTTGGCCAGGAGGAATTCTGTCTTGAGAAAGTGATCATTGCGAGACTGGTTTCATGGAGCTGCGGTTGTGGCAGTGCGCATGCGCCTTAGTGCGGCGTCAGCGTCGCGTTGCCAGGACCAGATCACGACCCGGATTCTCGTCTAAAGCCGCACAATAGAAGCTGCCGGGTATTTGACTTGATTGATGAATACCTTTGTCTTCTTTTTTTAAAGAAAATAATCAAAAAAAAAAAAAAATCAAAAAAATCGGCCCCCCTGAGAAGCCGATTTGCTATTTTGACCTTTGCCCAACAACAAGCCAAGTAACTACATGTGCCCCTGGAATGCCACCCCTGTTGAAGAGACGTCCCAGCCACACTTGATTGGTCCAAGACAACAGATTTCAAGATGGCCGCGAAACTGGCTTCAACACCACGCCGCCCAGAAAAAAAAACATTTCAGGCTTCCCCTTATTGCAGTTGAAATACCGCACGCGACGCCGGCCAGATTCAACGACAGCAAGCCGCGGCGTGCACTATACACTTGCGTATCTTCTCCCCGCACACAGTCGAGATGCTTGCCCTGCCAGTTGCGCTGCTCGGCGCAATCGCCGCAGCCAAGGAGCACCTCGACGGACTGCCGGCGTACCATTACAATGCGCCAATCAAGGTCGAGTGTATGAACCGAAGCTCGTGCGTCTTACGATACATTTCTTGGGCCAATGGTGCAGTGCATGCTCGGTGCTAACAAAGAATGCCGCAGAGAAACGGGCGAGCACATTGAGAAGAACGACGAGATACAATGGGTCCCCTTCCCCGTGTGCAACGAGACGGGCAAGCCGCTCGAATTCCACTACGGCTACGAGGGCGAGCTCAACTGCACGCTCGACTTCGTCTCCGACCCCTTCTTCCACCTGCTCGAGTTCTACATCCACAGCGACGCGCCCATGTCGTGCCGCCTGCCGGCCAGGCCGCCCGCGCACGTGGAAATCATCGGCGAGAAGCCGCCGGTGCAGGAGTACGTGCCGCTGGTGTTTGCGCTGGCGGGCACGCTGCAGATGAGCCACATGCACATCAGCACGCACATGAACGTCTTGCTGCACAGCATGCCCAAGCACCACCAGCGGCCGCACGACAGCGGCGTCCTCGACTCGGCCATTGCCTACAGCACCAGCCCGCTGAGCCACATGGAGGGCACCGAGACTGCGCGCATTATACCCGGGGAGCCGCTGCCGCTCAAGTTCTCCGTGCGGTGGTTCCCCACGCCTGCGCTGCCCAAGACCGAGGGACGCGTCGAGTGGAGGGGCCTCGGGGGCCACATCTACGCGACCACTGTGTTTTACAGCCTGGTGTCGTTTGGCGCCGGTGTCGTCGTCGCGGGCATGTATACTCTTGGCGTGGTGCTGCCGAGAAGGTTGAAGGCGAGGTCCATGGGCGGCGCCACGCCGTTGGGGTACGGGCTGAGCAGCGGTGGTGTTGGCAACGGCTGGGGATATACCAAGAAGGATTGAGTGAGTGTATATGCTAGGCGGTTTTTTTTTCCTTCTCTTTTTTCCTGTTCGTTGTTGTACATTCTGCATACGTGACATGATGGGTGGGATACCTGGCGTTTCTTTGGCCGATTATTATTTGCCATGGGGGAGTTGGGCTGGTGGCTGGTGTGGAAGGACTTTTGCATCATGTCTAACGAGTTTTTTCAGTTGGCTTGTAGGCACGAGGCTATTCCCCCCAACCTTCTTTAATACATGTAGCCGTTTGCCATTTGAGTTTTTTTCTTTCTTTTACGGCCGTACACTAGATTTGGTTGTAATTTGCTCCTACGTGCGTCGTCCTATATCTTTCTTGGGTGGACGCGGATCTTGGACCCTCGCCAGCAGCCTAAGGTACATGTCCACGGCCATCAACGCGGCTAAGAGAGACAAGTCAGTCTAATTTATCAAAGACAAGATGCCGAATAGCATGGAACTTACGAATAACTGCAAAGGGGAGATATGTGCCCCAAAACAGCCGTGGTTTATGCTCTGCACCGACCTTGTCCGCGCCCATGTGCCAGATATCATAGGCACATGCCGTGGCTCCCATAAACGTCACACACGCGTAGGCCAAAGCGGCCAATTCAGTGGCGCCAGAGGTGGGCTTTATCGAGCCAAGCTTGTACGCGAGATACGCCGTCAGTGGGAGCTGTACCAGCAGCTCGACGTAGAGAAAGGCTTCGAACCAGGGCTCGTGGGTAGAGGACGCAAAATAGGGGTCGCCGGATTGGATTGTCCACCATTTGCGGAGGGAGACTAGGGGATGGAGAGGGGACGAGGGGCTTTGCCAGAGGAACTTGGGGTAGAAGGGGACGAGGTCGAGGACTGGGTATGTTAGCTTGGTGTTGGTCGTGCCCTGCCTAGCCGGTTTGTCGGGGATGCGTACTCAGCATGCCCAGGAGCTGGGCGCCGACAACTGGTAGGTAGAGTTTATCGCGAATGCTGGACGACATTTTTGGTTTGGCGTGTACAAGGGGCTGGTTGTGTGTTGAATTGGTATTGCCGACTCGGCAATGCAGATGAGGCTGGGATGAAGCTAGAGGGATGGCGTTGCTGATGACTGTGGTCCCTGGGCATGGAGTTGCAAGATGCAGTGGGGCAGCGACTGACTTGCCATTTCAGGGAGTCCCCGAATTTCTCGGAAACATCAATACGTACTATTGTCGCCGCGGGTCCGCCAAGCATCAATTTAAGGCTGACCGTCTCGCCAGTCACTTGCTCGGCCTTTACCTTGCCTGGTAAGGTCGATTTGTTCCTGACTAGAGCCGCATTATCTCAACTAACTGCAGGTTTTTGCATCAGCAATAAACTTCAATCTCCAACCCTGCCTTTTTCGGCGAAACATCATACACCTCACCCAAGATACGGCTCCCACGCCGTTGGGGCCTGTCCTGACATTCGTTCATTGCTCTCGTTCATTCTCCCCCCTTTTCTTCTAGGAGCTTACATTTGGTCACCGAGGCTCTTTCAGCATGCGCTACACACACCCTCTTCACACCGCTCTGGCGAGCATTTTGATAGCAGCACAAGTCGCGGCCAAGCCAGCTTTCTCAATCGATTCAACGTCTAAGTGACGACGGCAGTATGCCACGAAGCAAAACCGTATACATCAGCTTGTGAATCCTGTGAACCGGCTGGCCAGTCCCGTACATGGCCGATATCAAAAACACGGCAGCTACAATTTATGCAGGCGCTCATGTGGCAGCGCGGCCCGGTCAACAATTTCATGCCTCTCAATGTGACGCACGTCATCGGCAATGACGATCAAGGCTTCTGGGCGACGGCAGCCATGGCTGCTGCCGGGAGAGGGTTCTCCGATCCCCCAGCCGGTACCAAGCTGGCGTGGGTGCCGATGGTAGAGGATGTGTTTAACAAGCTCGTTGCGCGGTTTGACACGGAGTCCTGCGGCGGCGGTTTGAGGTGGCAAGTCCCCTTTGCTAATCGGGGATATGAACACAAGGATGGTGAGCTTTTTGCCTCGGCATCAGTCGCCGGCAATTCTGGTCGAGGTTGCAGCCACCATTTTGCTAACTTGGGGGATGGCAAGCTCTTCCCGACGGCTTGTTCTTCAGTCTCGGCGCCCGACTTGCCCGATACACTGGCAACAAGACGTATGCGGAATGGGCAGACAGGGCGTGGGATTGGGTCGAGGGCATCGGGTTCGTCGACAACCAGACACATGCCGTGCACCATGGGGCAAAGACGGACAGCAACTGTAAACGCACGTCAAAGGCCGAAATCACCGCAAACAACGCCATCTTCGTTCTGGGTGCTTCATGCATGTACAACCAGGTTCGTCGTCACCTGCCCTTCTCCCGAAATAGGCCACGTCCCGCGGGCGATTCCTGGTGCCGACCCTCTCAGACAAACGGAGACTCCAAGTGGAAAACTCGGGTGAACAAAACTCGTCGAGCGTGGGCTTCACAACTTCTTCCCTTACAACGTTGCGTATGAAGCGGCTTGCGGAAAGGAGAAGGAATGCCTGGCGGAAATAACTTTCTTCAAGGGCCTGATGCACCAGGGGTGGACGGCCTCGACCCAGGTCGCGCCCTTTATATCGGAAACTGTCCTCCCCGTGCTGAGGAGCTCTGCTGCGGCGGCCGTGAAGCAGTGCACGGGGGAGGGCGAGGGCGAAGCTGATGGTCGGCTCTGTAGGAGTTTTTGGGCTCGGGAGGGCTCTGATGGCAGGACTGGCGTCGGTGAGCAGATGAGTGCGTTGGCGGCCGTTACGGGATTACTTGTTAGTAAAAAGGCAGGCCCGCACACGGCAAAGTCGGGGAAGGGTTCTGGAGGAAGCGATAACGGTGGGAACGGAGGGGCTGGAGGAGATGGGAAGGCTGACAACGGGACCTCGAGTGGTGGGAAGAATGGAAAGGATTCGGCGGCTGGCAAGATTGACCGTGGCGTGCTTGGCATCACGGTGATTGCTACTGGACGCTATGTTTTAATTGCGTGGTATGAGGTTCTGTCATAGTATGTTGGATAGCGTGGCTTGGAGTCTAGTTCAGTTCCCCGGCTATTGGAATTAGATTCCGAATATCACAGTCTGATTCGTATTTCTATTAGCTTATATAGCGGTCTGTAGTAGGAGGTAAGATATGTCCCCTCTCAAGCACATATTTCAATGTTAAAGTCCACTGGGTGAGATGGCGGAGGCGGGAAGAGAATGTGACAACTTGGCCGTCTGTCCTGTGGGATAACTGAACAGCTGAGGCAGACAAGAGTCAACAGTGTATCAAGTGTGGTCAGCAACCCAGTGTGCGGCAACCGACCATGTCAAGCGTTGAAGCAACAGAGCGATTCAAGCAAAAAGCCGTACAAGTTGCCGTATGAGTTTGCAAGCCCCAATGCCACGAAGCAGATTTTGCTGCGCACATAGGTTGGTATGGGCTCTAGCATATGCGAACCCGAGCAGTCAATATTTTGTTTCTTGTTCGGATCTTTTGTTACTTGGTTTGCGTGCTCTCCAAACGAAGACCAGTTGTAATGCTTTTGTACAATATACTTCGAATCAAAGAGAGTGGGGGGTTCCTTGGACTGTGAGGTATCAGGAATCTAGGATTATTTTAGATCCAGTCGACCTCCAAATCTGAGCTCCGGAATCTCGCGGTTGATGCGGCTTAGTAAAGTGAGGCCTGTAGGCAGATATGGCCGGGATGGCGAAACTTTGCAGCCCTTCCGATTCTATGCGTCTCGCATGAAGATGTGGTCCTATCTAGAACTAATAGATATGCAAACACTGTGAAGATGCCTAATATGAGAAACAACTTGGTCGGGAAATCAGCTTACGGGATTTTCGAGCGTTAGGGGCACAGCCATTATTCGTTTAGAGATGTGGATGACGTTGATGGGGACTACATTCAAAGCAGCGCTGTTCGGTAGATTTTTCCCAAACGTTCTCCAGCTGAATTTCGAAGTTGATCGTTTTGCGCTCTCTGACTGAGCATAACAGGAGGATATTGGGAGACAATAGATTGCGCGTGGGAAGAAATGGCGTGACTGCAACCGCAAAGTAGCTTCATAGCAGCCATTCATACTCTTGCTTGGAATTGTGTCCACTATACTCGCACGGCTGGAGGCTTTGCACTTCTGGTAGTTGAAGCTACTGTTATAGCGAGATGTTTCAGTGGGCACACATGTTTTCATCCAAGCGTTGGTCGTGTAAATCTTTCTCTGCTCCTCTCCTCAACATCGTTTGATAATAGAGCAGCCATCCAGTTAACTCGACTTGACCGTGTCTCAATCAGTTTTACGTTAATACAGATAAAATTAAAGTCCACGAGGTTGTCGAAGTTAGCTGTCCAGGAATACAAAGTCCAGGGGATATGTGTCCAGGAAGATGGTTCAGTTTCGACAGCCCGGCCAAAAGTCGTCGTCAATAAAGAACATATATACCTCGACTCAGCCCCCAAAGTAAAGTCGTTTACCATATCCTTAACGATTTCCTACATATTTATATTTGTTTCCCAGGTTTTGTAGTGCAGCAGGCGGTCAACAGCCTCTGGTGATGGAATGACTGCCTTGAGAATGGTATATCATTAGACGAATCTTGCGAGAATCCGACCCCAAACTAGACGCGAATAGCTATCCCGGCCGGCCAGCCTTTGAGTACAGACTTCTTTACCAGGTATAAACGCCATTCGGGCGTCAGAAGCGTCTCAGGGGTAATGAAATACTCCTTTGCGTAACAAGAACTTAACAAGTATTCATCCTTTTCGCACGCATCCCATAGACGTGGGTATTCGGCTCAAGACGGCAAGACAGGCTCCCTAAAACAGAATAAACAGACCAAACCCGTCTCAAAGTCGAATATTCACGCTGGAAAAGACGCCGGCTCAGCCGGGTGCATCACATCTGTTACTGGTGTCTTCACATCGACTTGCAACATTACACGTGCCCAACATCTCGGCGAAAGCCAGACTGAATACGCACCCCCTTTTCCAACCACACGTCCGCTATCATATGTACAAATCGCACCTGTAAAGAAGTCTCAAAAAAACCAATATGCCCATCAAGGCTCTCAAACGTAGACAAACCCTACCCACCGTGCGAGATGACGAATCATGTAGTTTCTACTGTACGGCCACTGCTTCAGTGTGAATCATGCAGAAACCATGAGGCCATTTCTAATGGCGAGTCTCCTCGAAGCGTCATCCGAGATATCCCAGCTTTGCTCTCCCTGAGACCATGATTCGCAAACCAGCAAGTAATCTACATGCATATAGCCGACCGGAGAATATAACAATCACCAATGGCAAGCCAGGGCGCCGGGCCCGTGGACGGACCTGGTTCACCTAAATAAGCATTGCTATCAAGAGAAAGCCAAAGCAGCAAAACGTGGCGTTCTTGTACGCGCTGAGGCAAACCAACCCCATTTCTGGGTGGTGTGTCGTACTCCCGTCCTCGACTCCTCGGTCGGAACATTGGCAGCCTTCTTCCTAAATGTGTGCCCTCCAAGCGAGATTCCATGTTTCTTTAGTCTTTAGAGGGGACTCCCACCATGGAATGTAGAAGAAGTGCCCTTCTGGACCGCCAGCGTAAGTGCATACAGTCCACGCATGGGTTTCCAGAACCGCGCGGCTCTCCTTGGAACATTTCATCTACATTGCTCTTTTGGAAGCTCTCGACTCCGTAGACGTTTCTGCATCTTTTTTCCCCATCACATGTCATGGGAAAATTGTCAGGCAGCGCGGCTAGTGCGTCGGCGCCGTGCAACGACTTTCCCCGCCTCTGTGTCAAGATACAAAGTCCAGGATCGTTGGAAACAAAGCCGAAGCTCATGATCGTATGTTACAGCTGACACCTAGATCGTGAAATGCCAGCTTGGGCTCTGCCGCTCGCAATACGTCATCACTCAAGGGACAATGTGATCATCGTACCCCCCATCTCTAAAGGAAGAACAGCGACATTGCGCACCCAACTGTGTGTATTTCTGTGCCAAATGTACGCCTGTGGCCCGCCAGGAACCTAAACGTTTACAAGGGCACAGCTCTGACGGTAATTTTCCAAAAGCACCCTCGCCCAAGAACGAGTGTGGCCGCCTTGCAGCCGCCTGGCAAGGCGTCAACCGACGGCATCCCTGTCCCTGTAATTTTTTTGTGCGAGGGGGAAAATGGTCTCTCGGCCGCCAATCTTTCCATGTTCTGGTTGTTGCCGTTGGCCCAGTAGAAAGATTGGACGGTGCTTTCGGCACCGCTGCCATGCCCGTCTGCGCGGGACCTCGGGGGGCGTCTTGCCACAATGAGATCGGTTTCGGGACAGCCTTGTTCGGAAGGGGGGGCCAAGGGAGTAGTTCACGGCCTATTAGCTGGCTGAGCGGATTGTCCGATATTGGTGTCTGCTGCGACCTGATCCGTCACACATCGTCGTGTCACGGTGGCGTGCCTTGAAGGGAGGGGGTTGAGGGGACTACAAGGCTCGGACGGGGCAGAGGATGGCCCGAAAAGAACTTGCCTTGACTCTCATGTAGCATTGTCGAGGTGCATGTATGTGACGCGTGAGAAACACTTGTCTTTGATGACATTGACGCAACAGGTCCTCGATATGTCCGGTCCGCCAGCACCCGCGGGGGGGACGGCGGATGCCCTGCTATTATTCAAAGAGATTGGATGTCTTCTTCTTCCTCGGTACTCGGGAGCAATGTGTCCCAGCTGGCCTTTGAACAGACATGTCATGGTATATGCTCAAACCACCATGTCGGCTTTGAATGGTCATGCATGTCCCCATCAGTCGCCGACGGGCACCGTCATGTTTCCCACTGAACCACGCCCAGGACCTAAACTGTAGCCATTCAAGAACAGGACGTGCACAGGATGCAGTTTCATACAATGGCGTGCTTCGAGGTACACATCCCCGCGGGATCTTGTGGTCTATTCGACGTGAGAATCTCTAAAAATAGCAACCACGAAATATGCCATTTCAATGCAGAATCAGACATTGGCATGCATCGCTGGAGAATACAACCCTTTAATTGGTTAAACAGACAATAAAGACTTGGCCAATGCTTGCATGAAAACGTACACACCTTGCTCTTCTTTGCGGTCAATTCGGCCGAGTGTGCATGAGACAATCCCCGAGGTCCACGAGTCTGTTGACGGCGCTATGCAAACAAGATGCAGATCCCTAGGCAGACACAAGAATTACTTGTCGCGGGACGAGACACAGTTGCGGGATCAAAGAGACAGGGCGCATGTCGATTAGGTGTCTCTATTTCAGTGTCAAGACGTCTGGGAGAATAAGGACCGGCTTCCGATATACACCTATAAATTTCATCTCATCTCATCCCATCTAATAATGACCCAAGTAAGAACTCTACCATGTTGTCGTCTAGCACGCTGTATTCTTATGCAGTCTATATCCCCGGACGCTCACCACTAAAGCCCTCTCGCACCTTTCTTCTTCTCTTCGTGCAAAGCATCCAAAACTTCCAGCCCCTTCGCCAACTGCGCCGTGACAGTTTCTAACCCCACAGTATTGTTTCTATCAAACAGGTTGTAATGGTCCGCGTCAACATCAATAACAGCCTTGATGAATTCGGGATACCGCGCTTCCCAACCAAGCAGTTTCTCATCCCGGAAAAGGTCAACCAAACAAGGAGGTGCCACATCTTGACTTTCGCCACTGCTCACGTGGTTCGGTTCTGGTTTCGCACGTTTGACGCAGCGTAGCAGCACAGCTGGCGGCGGGCTACCACCTGCAACGGACCCCGATATGTCGGCTTGTGCGTCTTTGACATAGGTCTTCACAGCAATCGTCTGCCACTTGCTATCGGAGCCGACAGGCTTGTGGAGGACCTCCCCTTTTCGGACGGCAAGTGTCTCACCTGCGACGGTCAACTTGACATCCGTGCTGGCGTCACTGTCTGAGGTATCCCACAAAGGCAGGTCCCAATGCTGAAGCATATCGTCGCAGTTACTGAATGACTTCCGCACCAACGGCGGTATGCCGGTCAGCTCAGGCTTGGACGTCGGCACTGCGATCTTGCTCCGGGCAATATGGTACGGCGAGTCTATGATAAGAAGCCCTGCCACTGAAATAGGATACGCCCCTGGATTGGCAGCAATGGCTCGTGCCATGGCCAGAGATAGATACCCCCCGAGGGACCATCCTGTCCAACAATGGACCAAAAAAAATTAGCCCTCATTTCCTTCCCGCAAATTATACTCCCCCTTCGTGGACCCGATAAAGCAGTTCCGGAAAGGACTTTAAAGAGCGGGCAAGACAAAGAAAAAAAAAAAAAAATCACCTCCCAACATTACGGGACCAACCAAGTCCCCCGCAATAAAATCAAGATACTTCTTTGCCATCTCATCCATGCCTCCTTCCCACGGCAAACCTTCAAAGTAGTTGGGGTTGTGAACGGCCCATACATCGCGTGCTAAACTCCCCAGGACGAAGTAACTAAAGGTCGTACCGCCGCCATCGTGAATCAAGACGAGCGGCAGAGGCGAGTTGTGAGCCTTGCCGGGAGGTACGAACTGTACCTGGGTTGGGTTCGGGCCACCCGGGAACATTGTTCGTGATGGGCCCCTTGCTTGGTGAACGCTTGGTAACGGAGAGGTTCGCGAGGAAGGGTCTGGTGCGGGAAACGAGGGTGGACAAAGGCAGGGGAGCCTAACGGCCAGAAATCCAAGGCCGAGATAGTATTCCCGTTTACCAAATTCGCTCTTCGGCGTCCTGAAAGATTCAGATACTATGGCCGGAACCAACAGCGAGATCTGTGCTTTATACCCGTGGCAACGATGCTCGTCGGTGGCGTGCTCTGGCTTGAGTGCCACGTCGCGTGGAGCCAAGGACAATAGATGGCTCAACACAATGCCGCAACAGGCATCAGGTTCATCAAGGTAACGTGGCCCGTCCCTTTTCTCAGCGATCAGATATGCAATTGCCTCCGGCAGGCTCAGAGCAAGCCACGGGTGGCAGGCAGAGGGAAGGGCAAAGGGTCCAAAAGGTCCGACAGAAGGCAGCGGCGTTGACCATACACCCAACGGTGGTCCGAGATGCACGGCACAAAGGGACAATGCAAGTACGAGTGTCGAGTGTCAAATATCGCGTGCGGAATGTCAAGGTCAATGGCGATCTCGAAGATGATCTCTGCGGTTCTCGTTTGCGCAACCCCTCACTTCCTTCGTTCCTTCCTTACAAGTTAGACATGCTGTTTCCAGCCCCACAATCCGATTTATTCAGTCAATCAACCAACTTAGGCCCCGTCTTCCAATTTCCAAATTGGCATCACCGGCATCGATATCGACATCGACATTGCCATTTCCTCCAAATTTTTCCGCTAGCCACCGCCCCCCGCCACCGAGCTCGCGATTCCCATCTTCGTCCAATACTCTCATCAAACACAGACCATATATGTCTCACTCACTTAAGCGTAATTAAGGCTTCGGCTTCACCTAAAGTTTCCTCGCGTCGTCTTACATCTACTTTTGCTCATGTGAGCTTCCCAGTAACTAGTTGCATCGCTTTGTCAAGAGCTCCGTATATTTTCTTCTTCTTCCAGGGCTCGTAATGACCTTTCACCTCCCAACCCCCCCGGTCAGATTCATGTAAGTGCGCGCCTACGACACATGCCATATGAAGATGGCCAAACATTGCATGTTAAATGGCTCAACAACTTAAAATTCCCTAATATCATAAATTGTACTTGAAACAAAAATCTTGGCGGTCCCATGCCCATATCGCCAGCCCCGTGCTATACTCCAATCGCCGCCATCACCAATGCAAGCCCTGGTCACAAGTATCACCAAGTATTCCTTGGCCGCTGAAGCATCTGTCCATATCCTACATGAATCAAGTTCCTGATTTACCCTGTCAAAGAAGAAAACCCTTGGCTCGTCATCCCCACTCTCATAAAAGCTCAGGCCGAAAATATCCCAATAAAAAAAGCAAAAGATGCACCGCAGAAGAGTAACCCAATTTCCACTTGTAACTCCCCTGCCGTCGCCCCGAGAATTAAAACAAACCTAGAATGAAATACGGGAAAGGAAAATGCAGCCAGCGTGTGTCTCTTGTCGTAATACCCATCCATGCAGACACTTGGGGCATCCAACCACGCATAGGACTTTCCTCACAGGCAAGCTTCAACACACTGAATTAATTCATCCTTTGGTAGTCTTCCGGCAAACTTCTGAATCAGTGTGGTTGCTAGCGCAATGTTCGACGGATTGTTGTGCCACCTAGACCCCTTCCCGTTGGCAAGAATCATATTCAAGGACCAGCTGTTTGGCATCTATCACACCCAGCACTTTTAGCGATTCGTCCACGGCTTGTCAGCGTCATATTTGAGCCTGCTTACCTCGTGTTGAATCAAGTTCCTCATAGACTCCAAGGAATCTGCTTTGTTTGAATCTTGGAAACCCAGCGTTTCTGCAAGAGACGCAATTTGAGATGCGAGGGAATCGCCCATGGCTGATATCTCTGAAGTCACCACCGACTCCGCAACTCTGAGAATCTCCTCATGGAAGCTACGGCGCTCCCACTGTGTCCAGTTGTCAGCTGCCTGCAATACATCGAGTATTACTTTCGCTAGCCGCCTGTTTCTGCTGATGTGTTGTCCAGTTGTCATTGGTGACATATCGCTGCACGCCCTACTATAATAAGCCGCAGCCAAGTCGTCGAAGCTCTCGAAGCCAATTGACTGCAAATACTGTATTATCCTTTCCACACGCTCATCCGTGGCTGCGTCCCGCGCTGGAATCGGAACACTTCCCGTTGGTCCTTGAGGGGAGCTGGTGCTGTGGTGAGTACTTGGACACATGTCGGTTTCAAGTCGTGTCGCCGGTGGCTCCAACATTGGAGAATAGCTCATGGATCCGGTTGAAGAAGATTGGCGAAGCTTGTGGGGGAAGCTATCAGCTTTCCAACCATCGTTTGCACTCTCAAATGCAAATTCCACACTTTCTGTGTGAGTTGGGGTAAAAGTTCTCATGCAGGCAATTTGGTCTTGGCTCATACCATCTATCACATATTCTATTAGCACGGGAATTTACAAACTCCTTGTGTCTACCAGATGGACGTGTGAACATACATTGTGAAAGTCCATCAGTCTGACTGTAAGTGCCTTGACTCGAACAGCCAGAGTCCTGTTCAAGGGTATTGAGTCTGTTTAAGAGCCGCGTCTGAAAACGGAGACAATCAAGGACAAAATCTTGAGATACTTTGTTTGGCTTCTCAGAATCTGGTCTCCCGGGAGGAGAAGACAATCCGTTCTGATTCTGAGGAGATGTATGAGAGTTCGGTGGGCTATTCAGAAATTGCGTCTTGTGCGAGAATAACGAAGGACCCGACTCTTCTGCAAGATGATCGTATATATTGGTCTGGAGCATAGGTAATGCAGGCGGGTGCTGGTCGTTGCCCAATGGCGATTGGGACGTCTCTCCACCATGAGATGGCGTCAAGATCGAGTTGAGACTAGCAAGGCTGTTGACGTTGGAATGGCTAGTTGTGGTAAGAGCATTGGGGTTAAACGTAAGGGGCACACCAGTCACCCCATGTGCCATCTCATTCCCACCATGGGAAACTGCATGGATTCTCTGCCTCTCGTGGCTATCTAACCTGGCTTGAAGCTCTCCAAGCCTTGCCTTCATTCGATGACCTAAATCATAAGTGATTAGCGAGCTGGCCTTCCGGGAAAGCCCTTCTCAATACCAGACACCAGAGGGCGTTTGGAGCGCTTGATCAGAATTACTACGCCACGGCCACTTTCTAATACCTGAAATTACCAAGGCGGAGTCGGGTAGCCATCCATGATGAGCAACTTACGATATGTCCTCTGTGCCACCCGATTCTGTATTCTCTTCTTTTCCTTTGGATCCTTCACCCTAGTCCAATCATCTTCGATACTAAGCTCCTTGGTATTGGGTAACGATGACGAGCTCGAAGGCATCCTAGAGCTATATCGGCGATTTCGAATGCGGTTGATGGGTGGGCATTGTACGTCTGTATGGGTAACCGAGAAGGACGCGGGTGGTAGGTGTGAAACTGCTGTAGGAGATGTCGAACTTGGCGAGGCTGGAAAAGAGATCGGTGTAAATGCCACCGTGTCTCCGGACAGTGGTGCGGAGCCAGCTGGATGATTCCAACACGTCTCTGTCAATACAGACATCGGTTTCCGTATCGGACAATGTGAGTGATAGGTGGGAGGCCGCAGAGGGAGGTTAGGTAGGCCAAGGGACCAATCAAGAGGACGTTCCTGATATCCGGCGCCTCAAAATCATCGACGGTGTTATATAACAGGGAAGCCACGCATATAGACCAAGTCTGAGGAATTCAAGGATGGTAAAGATGAAGGCAAAGCTCCTCGTTGGAGATGCCTTTGTGACCCTGCTATATGTATATATCTGTAAACCGGTAAGAACCCTGTTACGAGGCAAAGCCGAGCTGGCCATAGTGGCCTCGAACCTACCCCAGCTTCTTGTTTGGTCCCGCTGTACAAAGCAGTACCTCCGTGAGCTCTCATTTGGGTATCGAACATGGTGGGAGGTACTCTTGAGAAGTCTCCTTTACATGGCCCAGGTGTACATCGACCCTCATGTTCTCGAACCGCAAACCTCTCTCTTCACACCCCCTTTCTCATAAGGATGGGTCCGGGGAGTCTCCCGTACGCCAAAGGGCATCCTCTTTTCTTCTGGGAGGAATTGCCTATGCCCATCAGTGGGCTGTAAGAGGGGGGTCTTGTTGGCTGAGCGGACTGACCTCAAAAGGACTGGTAAGGTGTCAACACTGTACAAGAGATCGCAGAGACATGCAAAACGAACAAGAGCAGGGGTTGCTTGTAAGAGCACCCCCCGGCCCGTCATCGTCAACCAGATTCCTGGATGACAGCCAAGCTAGTCTCTGGACTGAATTAACAGGGAGGGGGTGTCGTCTGGTGGTCACCTTCACACCACAGAATGACACCCCCCAACTCTGTGCCTGCTCCATGTGGCCGTCAGACAAGACCGTCCGATTCAGGCGTCCAGCCATGGATCGCGCTCTACGAGGCTCGGGCCAGGCCTGGCGGCTAGGGTCTCTTCCAAATACGTGCTTCCGACGTTCAACTCGCTGCTCTCGGGTTTCATGAAGACCTAAAGCAATGACAGAACTAACAAGAGATAGACAATTGCAGTACAGTGAGGAAAAAGCAATCAGGTCCATGGTCAGGGCGTACCGGGAGACCTTCCTACCATGCATGCAAAGATACGGAGAGTCCGCCTTCGTGTCCGCCCGAAGGCATTAATTGACAGCCGGGCCCGAACCGAGCACGTGTGCGAGGGTGGACTTGATTTGACAACAAACCACAACTACTACTTCTTCCTGTTTCTCAACGGGACGGTATTCTGTCCAGGCCTGTCGTTTAGTAAAATGTGCTGTCCTTTTTGCGACATGCATTTGGCTTGTGAGATGCTGGCGGAGACAGAGGCACGGGACACTTGAGACCGGGCAAAAAAACAAAAGCCCATGTACAACAACTACCGGAACAACCAGTCTCGATCGGATTTGAATCTCCACCCCGGCGTTTTGGCCGCCAAGGGCAAGAGCGGAGAGCGCAAGTGGTAACATGGCGGTCTCTCTCTTCACCCCCCTTCTCGGCACCAGTCTCTGCCAGGTCGTCATGCTCAGTCTGTCCCCGAGCTCGGCCGATGCCTGTGAAGCATGGACCAGCATCTAGAGCATCATCGTCACGTTCGGGGACTAGGCGCCTAGGTCCAGGTAATAGAGGGACCAACCTCATTGCTGGCATTACGAACAAGGGATGTGTGGCCAGGTGCAATCCGCGATCCGCGATCCGCCCAATCTCAACCTCCCTGAACGCAGGCAATATGAAAAGAGAAGAGCGGCCATGTAGTGATGCGATAGCGCCTCGTCTCGGGATCTTTGTCTGCAAAGAATCCTGCTGCCTTGCCTAGGATAAAGGTCAATCAATCTCCGCCATTTTATCAATTACTTCCTCGGGGTAGTTTGACCTCCAGCAATGGCCCGTGCTCTCCCATTGTTGAGAGAATGAAGACGTTAAAGAGCTTTGCAATGCCTACCTACCTAGGTAGGTGGTTATGCTTTGTGAAATCTTCATATGATATATTGTCGCGTTCCAACGGCCCCATGGGCTGGACATCGGCGCCTTCATCACCACCCACCATTTGCGTTCCGTTACTGGTTCATGCAATTCAAGGTGCACTGATTGCGGACGAGTTGAGACAGTGAATTTGCCAAATAAACTGCATGCGGCCATTTCTTCCACAATACTTCCACAACCCAGTTCTGGTCAGCATGCTCCACTGCAGTCTCCCCCAGCGGCCGAGTGCTACCGCTGGCACAGTTACCGTTTTGTCGTCTGCTCACATGTCAAGTTGAGCTATGCCCTGTGGATGAAGTCAATAGAGCACCATACAAACCATATAATATAGCCGATTACTTGGCCTCGTTCAGAAATAAAGAAGAAGAACAAGAACAAGAAAAGAAGGTACAGAGTACCCCGTACTCCGTAAGTGCGCAGATACCGACCCGTCTTATCGAGCGAAACGGCGTTTCTCCGTGGTGGGGAGGCTGACAACTTTGCATACCCGCACCATCAACAAAAACATCACCCCCACCTTTCCCTGTACATGTGTTCCTGGGGCTTGCATGGCCCTTGTGAACTGGTGGCGGCCAAGTCGACAGAAGTTGGTCGGCAGCGGCTCAGCTGAACTCATGTTGTTTTTGGCCAAGTGCTTAACAGTGCAGTCCCGTACAGGTGACAGACATTCTCGGAGTTGAAAAGATCCTCCAATGGCCAATCACCATGATTGTGTCGACGGCTTCATGGCAACGGCATGTTTACGTCGTATCCGCCGCAGCATGATCTCATGAGAATGGCGACAGACTCTGCGCTTAGGAGTCTCAGATGTTTCTGCATCTGCCTTCAACTGTCCGACATATGTTGCACAGACAAGCAATCAACATAATCTGGGCTTTTGCATTCGAGCGTCCCCACATTGTTGGCATCTTTCATCGGCGCATCGGGCTTGCTAACCTTGCAAAACGCCACACGCCATCAACCAAGCGAGGTCTCCCCAGAGGTACGGATTACTTGATGCCATTGTACGTATGGAATACGGGCTGGGATGACGAGTTGCTGACAGAGCAAGGGCGAGTCTAACTAAGAACTCGATATATAAGTCACTTGCTAGAAAAATCGATAGTTATTCTTGTCTGGCCAAGAAGTTTGTCGGCAATCTATCTGGTTGTACTTTGCCGGCCGTGATCGTTTGACTAACCAGTCAACAGAAGCCCTGTTCTTGTTATCCCCGTCCATATTACATCTCAATGGACAGGATAGTAGCCAGGGTAGTAATCTTTGTTGGTAGCATGTCGCTCAATCCAAGGTTTCCTCCTCGTTGCTCCCGACCATCATTCACCTTGTCTTACGTGCTAATGTGTAGCAAGCGGCCTTGCCATCTTGTCTCTCCCGATGAATGCGCGCTGCCGTTTTTCACTTCTGTCTAATTGCGCCCATACCGGTATATTTTGGGTTCGGCTGTCGCTTTTCTGACAGCGAGAGTAGCCATGCAAGTGGAGTCGTAGACAAATCGAGTCTCAGAATTGGGTTGCTGCTGGTCAGGTGTGTCCGTAGCGCGACAAGTTACTATATCCCGCAATTAATGACAACCAACCCTATTGCAGTATCTATAGGCCCTCCCTGAATTAGCACTCAACATATGAAGATTCACCTCCATGCTAGGGTTGTGTCTTTAGTACATCGATTCAGTTTTGCCCTGACGAGACTAAAGGATTTGAATGTCCACCAGCCCAATTTCCTAACTGGCGATTCGTCTCGTCAGCATGATAGGTGATCGATGAGAGCCCAGCAAATGATACGATTATCATCCAGCACACCGTGGAGTACCGAGTCGCGCAGTATGTGTACTTCGAAAGGCTGGATAGATGCTAATATCAGTGGCCGACAGGCTTTCCGGGTGGCTTGGTAGCCTTGGTACTCCCGTACTATCATGACTTGTCAAGGCTGCCGCCACCTTGGCTTGCCAAAGCGCCACAGATACAACTCGCCTTCATGGTTAATGTGCTCTGTATAGTAAGGCCCCTTTCTCACTATGTTTTATAGTCAGATGATTAACCTATGCCAAGGCTATGTCCGGACCTTTTATCAAGAGGTGATCTCGCGGCTACTACCGAGACGCTTGGACCTTGAACCGCAGCCATTTGCTCACTCTTGGCTATCACAAAGACACGGTACGCCTTCTTATTTCTCTCCATCTCAGAAGATATTGGCTACCATTGCTACCATTGAGCCGCGGTGAAAGCCATGTCTGGTTATGTTGCATCACTGCTTTGAACCAACAGGGTCTCTGGCACTCGCGACCTTCGGCCCGTACCAAGATTCGCTGAAGCCGGAGGACAGCCATTCGAAGCTCGTAACCAGCAGCTAGCCACATCGGTTCTCTCCGAGACTAGGGGCGGTAAATTGTTACGACACCATTGCGGACGCTACGGCTCCGCGTCTGTGGCTCAGTAGAGAATTTGGTAACGTGGCGTTAGCGTCACGCATGGCACCAGCCTCGACCTCTTAAACCACATGGCCCAAATAAAATTAGGCCAAATCGATTTGGTTGATATTTCCATGATTTGGAAGAGTTGATTGGCCACCTCGCGCCGACTTCGCCATGGGAAAGAAAGGGGACAAGATGGTTGACCAGTATCCACAGTGACGAGGATTGTTGTGGTAAGGCAAAGGATTCTGTCTACGGCTTCCCAGCTGAAACCAGAGTGTAGCTTGAGTATTTTGATGGGTATAATGGTCTTTGGGGCACTGCCCATGATAAGTTACGCAGGAGTACATGTGGACTGAGCCCCATTATCATTCACCGAGACTTGAGGATCACCGCCTGGGTACGGAACTCATTTGGCTGT